CTCAAAGCCAAATAGCACCCTCAAAAGTAAATTCGTTGGTGACAGTCGCCGAAGACAGTGTTTAGCGAGATGGAACAGCAAATAACAGAAGATTGGGAAAAGCAGATCACGAAACAAGTGGAAGCACTACGACAGGCCAATAAGCAGATTACCGCCGAACTTCAAGCAATCTCGGCCCTTCTGAAATAAGTTCCAAGCACAACAACTCACTTGTCGATACGGTCAATAAGCTGCGGAAGGAAAACGATCAGCTAAAGTCCGCCGCCAATGCTACCCAACAAGCAATGGAAACAAACGCCAGCTCCGACGAGGATCCCGCAGCGGGTGAATCAGAGGCCGACATAGACGACTACCAACTGACAGCGACAATAACAGCAAAGAACCTGATGCTGCCGGACCTAGTGCTCCCACGAGAGGAAGATACAATCCTACCTAGAAGAAACACAAGAACCCTTCCACAACTACTCCTTCCCGGAAGAGATGATCCGAGGACCCCTCGAACAATGGACGACCGACTTCGTAAAAACCGAACTAGAAAAGATGAAGTTCAACTCATCGGCCGTGATGCGCTGGTACAATGCCAAGGGCGAGCTAGTAAGACGATCAACCACGTAAATGTCAGAGTGGAAACGCAAAAGAAAAACCAGCGCTCCACACAATGCCACCGCTGACATCTACATGGACACTCTCAGTCGAGATACAAAGCCCCTCACAAATGTGTCAAATGTGCAGGCGACCACCCGTCCACAGCATGCACGAAAACCAGGGACACTGCAGCCACCTGTGCTGACTGCGGCGGTCCCCACCCAGCTTCCTACCAGGGATGCAAGAAACATCCCAAGCATGCCAGGAAAGCCAGTCTCAAAACCGATTCCAGAACGGCATTCCGCTGGGGTAATCAGCAGCCGCTAAACCCAAGCAGACCACTTCAGCCATCAATTGAAGAGATTACTCAGTAGCTAGCAGACCTGCAAAAACGACTGAACGCCCTCCGCTAAAGGCCATCCTTCACACAGGAAAACAATTACCAGGGGAGCCACGAAAAGCCCCACAAAGATGATCCAGACATCCAGGGATCACCAATCACCCTATCAGAACCTGGGACTAAGTACTATCAAAAATATGGGAACATAAAGTACGAGTTACTTTTCCTAATCAAAAAAATCTACGACAAAAAAAAAAGTCGAATCCAGTCATGGGAGGAACACGGAAGACAACACTTCGTTCTCTACTACACCGCCTTTGAAGATGTCTATCGCAGCAATGGACGAAACGTTAGGTAGAAATACATACGGATACATACACCTCTGGATATTTCCCATACCTCGATAGTGGTCTTTCGACAAAGGCCAATATTGGCGCAGGAATTCAACACCGACTAAAGTGCGCTAGCACAGCATTCGGAAAAGTCTATTGGAAAGGTTATTTGATAACCACGACATAGGTGAAATAACTTAGCTCTCGGTCTATAAAGGCCATCATCATACCAAAACTTCTCCACGGATGTGAATTGTAGACCCCTAGAAGAAAAAATACTACCAGTTCTGCTCGAGAAGAATCATCATCACCAAGCCTCTTTTCTGGGCAATCCAATTCGTCTTGATGCTTTTCAGGTCATCGCTTCAAATTGGCAGGATCGATGAACGAACGAACAACAGTATCCTTGAGGAAACTTATTCCAACAGCATTGAGGCAATGCTCAACCAGGAAGGCCAAGTTGAACGATACAAAGATGTTCTCGGGACAAACATAAAAACATGTGACATCAATATCGGAGGCTACGGCCAGTGACAGAGAGTATGGCGATCGACGTACCACCGAGATTCGCAGGTAATTCGAACAGAATCGTAGGAATGAACGAGAAAGTCAGGAATTATGATGCCAAGAGAAGTGTGATACTCGTTAGCGAGGGGACGTGTGTAATGATTTTTACAAATATTGACAGTTTGCTGTTTAAGATAAAACAACAGATAGTTCTCAAAACGCTCATTTAAAGGATGTTTTCTGCAAATGTGTTAAAAATGCAATTTTTACCACCACACGAGATTCCTGGTTGCTTCCTCTCTAGGTACTATAAAGCCTATTTCTCAAAATTACAGAAAATTGTAGAAATTTTTTGTCATTTGAGGATAAAATAAAATACGAAAAAATTGTTGTGAAAAATTTCGAAGGTTAACAGATCCACTTACATCTGCTACGCTACAATAGCTTAGATGGAAATCGAACGAGAAAGGACTGGTCTCTAGTACTATTGTGGACAAAAGTCGTCATTTTATTCATCGTCATCAATTAGTGGCGAATAAAATCATATATCATTCTCCATTAATTCATCACAATTAGATACTGAGAGCTAAAAGTCAAAAAAGTACCATTTTGTTTCAATATAAATAGTGCGAGCAAAGAAGTAGGTACTTTCATTTTTTACTAAGTCATAGAAGTCACCAAAATAGTCAGGAACAAAAAACTAAGGAAATATTCATTGAACTGTTCATGTACATTCACTGTACTGTATGGAAATATAATTTCCTTACAGTAAACTAAAAAAATGACACCGTATTACCAGTCTGGGTTTGAATCTCGGGAGGCAATCTATACGGTTACGGAATTATTCAACTTTTTCTCCTAGGTATACAATCTAGGTGATATATTTTTGAAAACTTAAATTTAAATAGGTCGACCAATACAATAGATGCATGTTTGCCAAATTAGGTAAACTTTCAAATTAGTGCTGCCCAAATAACATAGGAATAGCGAATGGAATAGCGAATATCTTATCAGTACTCATGTAGATTGTTAATTAATGATAATGGGTGGTATGAATAAAAACGAAGTACCTACTACTACTACAAGTATTAGCATATTCTTCGAAGTATTTACTTCACAAAGAAGCATCTATTTATTTCCTTTAGCTTCGAAATGTAGTATCTACTTTGTTTTGAAGTAAATACTACGTAGAACATACTGATACTTGTAGTAGTAGCAAGTACTTCGTTTTTATTCATACCACCCAATATATTTGCACTTTGGATAAGGTAACTACTTTTAAATTTAATTTCGTCACTTTCCGGAGCACTGCTCATTGCATAGCGTAGGTACGTATCCTATAGAATCTAGAATATAGGTAGTAATTATAAGGGTTTAAAGTTCAATATAAAACAAAAATATATCCAAGTGGTTTGAAATCAATCATAGACTATGTGATGTAAGTCCGACAAGATGCAAAACTGAAAAATTAAGATATGCGAGCCTATAAAGGACCGACATGTGGAATTACGTACCAAACATCACATCGTTGAATCCAGAGTACTTACTGCCATTCAGACAAGCCAAGAGAAAAGTGAATCTAGAAGAACAAAACCAAAAAGCTACCAAAATCAAGTACAATTTAAAAAAATAGACTGCTTCAACCACGAAAGCATAGCAGCGTTATTTGATGGAAATTTCCTACAAGATAACTTTGATAGTAAGTACCTAGAGCAGCAGTACAATTATCTATTAGGCTGAAAGTTCCATATTGGTGGGATGACGTAAAAACCAATTCAGAATTGCTAAAAAAAAAAGAACGAATGGTAATAACTCGAAAGAAGGGCGAATGCTGAGAGAGGAATTGTGACAGAATCAACACATACATAGTTGGTAGGAAGCAAAAGCTGGAAAATATTAAGATTCCGTCGCCAGAAAGCAGAAGATATGATCTCACCCATTACTAAGATACCTAAATGAAATGAGAAGGTATTCCGCAAATCAGAATACCAACAGCCCCAATAACCACAATCCGATACGTACGTAGGCACCATAGCATCTGCACTCAGACAATCTGAATCTATACCTACAATCCACTAGCTAGCCTTTATCATAGGGGCCTCAATGAACAGAAACTATACACGAAGGATGAAAAACGTCGTTTGTCACAACTATTCACAAAAAGGAAAGTATAAAGACGTCTGCGATAATCATCGAGAAATACCAATCTTCTGCACCGGCTCAAGAGACTATGGGAATGGAAATGTTTTAGAAAATGGAATTGAGGACGACTGGATGACTACATGGACGCCGAAGGACAGGCGGGCTTAAGAGCGTAGAGAATAGAGGAGATCCAATATTACTCTGTTTACGATAACCCAGATATTGGAGAAAAAGGGAGGCGCGAAATCAATGACACGAAATCTGGAAATCCATGTCATCTAAGTAGATCTCAAAAAAGCGTACGACAGCGTACTTCAGCTGAAACTTTGGAAAGCTCTCGAATATCACCGTAACGTTATCGAGGTTGTTGAGGAGAGCCAAGAGAGAATATTTCCGAGCAAAATAAAGAAATCACGGCGGATACTCCGAAGGGTTCAATATCAAAGTGTGTAAAGCCAGCTCCCAAAATCCCTGCCCCTAAAAATTAATATGGATTGGGAACGTGTAGTCGCTTCTGCGAAGCTGGCTCCTGACTGTTTTATTGAATATTTTTGTGATTATTTAGGCAAAATCGAACTATAATGAACTTAAAACACAAAATCATAACAGACAAAGACAATTTATCTATTTCAAAATATTTCGTTTGTGGTTTCGAATTATCAAGTATTGCGTGCACATTCCTATTCCTGATTATTTCAACGCTCTAAAATTATGACAGTGAAATCTATGAGGGAAATAAATAAATTGTGTATGTCTTGTGATTTTTCATTTATTTGTTGGAATTTTCCTAAAATAATCGCAAAAATACTGAATAAAACAATCAGGAGCCAGGAGCCAGCCGCGGAGATAGCTGCATAGAAGCGACTACGCTCCCGAATCATATATTAATTTTTAGGAGCTGGCATTTCAGGAGCTAGCTTCACGCACATTCATTCAATATCAGCAATGGCCTCAGATAACGATTTTTCATATCTTCGAACTCTATTCGAAACTTATTTGGAGCAAGCACTGAAGATATTGAAAACAAAGTGCGTTAACTAATATAATTCATTATAATCATTTGGCTTAAGCTTTACTCAAATTATAAAACTTACCTTAAAGCGTAAATCTCCTATCGGCGGTTTAGCGTAAGGTATTCCTTGAAAACTTAAAATAGTTTTATCATTATAAGTCACATAATTTTTTCCTTTAAGTTTTCCTTCGGCCACTGTAACGATCAAATTGTTTTCACTCATCTCAATACGTTTACTTTCTAGGACACACAATAACTAAACAATTTCGTAAGGCAACGCTTGTCATTGAAAACACGCTTAATACGTTGAAATTGATAAAATTAAAACATCGCGCGTAATTATCGGGTCTCACGCAAACGTGAACTTTGATTCGACATTGTTCACTGACTAGTTGATGATAAAGCGCGGAGGGCTTGAGTGAAAGTTATCTTACGCACATAAACTGCTGACCCACATAACAAAATTGCATCCTTAGAATGTAATAAGAATGTTCTTTTCTTAGAAGGAATGTGCCTAGAATGTTCGTCAAAACCATTGCGAATGTCCTGAGAATGTTCTGAGAAAAGATTGTAGAAATACTGTTTGTAATACCCAAGAACTTCCTGGAAAATCAATTAGGATATTCCTAGAATATACCTATCAGATTCTCAGTGCATCCTGAAAAGAATATTCCTCTTTGATTCTAAAAATATGCTTGAAATGTATATTCTCATATTCAATGAATGTTCCTATGACTTTATAGCTATGTTCTCAAAAGAATATTATACCAATATGCTTGAAATATTCTTAGAATATATCTACCTATATCATTCTCAATATGCATCCTAGACATAACATTCTTGTTTCATTCTAGGGATATACTTGGAATGTTAATTTTTTCTTCCAAATAATGCTCCTTAAAGTCCTTTTATATTAAAGACAGTGAAAGAGTTGTTGGAAAACTTCTCTGGAAAACACAAGGGTTTAACCAAAGCTCCGGTTTCGAGCATGTTATGCTCTCGTCGCGGTAAGTACGCTAACTGAGAGAAACAGGTTCCAAGGTGATTCAAACGCTGGGCAAGATGTAGATCTTTAATAGCGCGTGGCTCCCTCTCTTGGAAGTCCTACAAAGCAAAAGAAAAAGAATATACCTATAATATTTTTAGTAGGTTCTAGATAGAGCATTATTGTTTAATTGTTCAATTGAGGTATTTGAGTAGGTACTTTAGATAATTAGGTGAACAATATGAAAATATTCTTATCATGGTTACCTACCTACATAAACTTCTCAGCACAACTTGGTGGGCATATTCTTAATACTTGATAGGGATATTAGCCGAAAGAACATTTTTTAGGGTACACTATAATAATGTTCGTATGACAATATTCAAATAATATTATACAAAGTAGGTTCTTAGCACAATATTTCAGGTAAGTGCATAGAAGCAACATCCCTAGTACATAAATAGAACGTCCAAAAATTAATATTTCAATCGAAACAATCTTAGAATATTCATTAAACATTCCTAAAAGAACATTCCAAAAAGCACTTTAAGGGAATATTCTGAGAATATGAATGTTCTTTCTCTGTTATGTGGGAAACAATCCAAGGAAACCAAGCAAATTTTTAGGTTAACTTTTGTAGTTAAATATTCTGCAAACAAGAATTTAAAAGACACTTCAATAATTGTAAAATTTCAATCCGGCGTATTTAAAATTAAGCTTTTGACTTTTTTTTTTAGCTTGAAATATCTGCTGACAGGGTGTGCAAGAATGATTTAGAAAAAAAAAACGTGTTTCCAAAAAAAAAAAAATCTCTGTTGTTTGATTGACATTTTTTTATTATTTTATTTTTCTCCAAACGTCAGAAAAACGTCACTTTGTTAACTCCTGTCAAGATATCAGAAATTTGATTTCTATGCTGCTAGTCAAATCCAGCGGGTTAACACCTGTCGAGGTGGTAGAAATTTAATTTCTATGCTGCTTGGCAACCCCAGCGGCAGCAAAAGTACTTTAAGTGCCGGTGGAGCGGCAGTAGAAGTACTTTTAGTGCCGCTCGTACTTTTACTGCCGCTCAACCATTCACTTGCCCCCGAGCTTAACCCATTCGTTTAGAGAAAAAATAGCGTGTTGCATTCGGAGTAGAAGCACTTTTTTGTGCTTCAGCAGTATTGCAAGCCTCACTACATTCGGCTCGCAAACCTACCGCTTCAGCACAAAAAAGTAAAGCTTCTACTCCTAATACAACAATATACTATTATAAGAAAAAAATAAGAAACCAATTAAGTACAATTTATGAAATTATGGTATTTTTAAACCCTGTAAGACACCTATTTATTTCGGTGGTCAAAGTTAAACTGGGTTCTCTTTATTTCACATAGTAACAAACAAACAAAACAATATAAAAAATATTGGAATGTTTGCATTTCTGCTATACGTTGCCCAATAATAACTATGAAAAACTGCCTTAAGTGTAGTAGATACCTATTATCCATTCACAATCCGATGTCCACTGGTACCGGTACAATTTATCACCTTTCAATGCTATTTGATAGGGAAAGGTGATAAATGTGCAGGTACATTGTGGACATCGGATTGTGAACAGGATATACCTGACCATAATAGGACTAGCTTTTATGCAATAAGATAGGTACGCACTTCAATCACTGTCACTTCATCGTTTCAGGCAAGCTCTTGTTAAATGACAATGAAAGCCATCATGGAAAATGGAAACACCTGTAAAATGACGCGGAAGCCGAAAGCTCTGTAATGAGAAGAGACAATTTAAAAATGGTATTTGGGGATAGACAGCCTCTCATGAAACAAACCAAAATAACTCGTCGGGACTATCAAGATACAAGAATAACACTAAAGTAGAGAATTGTTTCGTGTCTGTCAAAATGGGACATCAAGGGCGTCGATTCGTGTCCCACATAGGGCTGCCATCCGTCCGGATTTCCCCGAATTTGTCCTAGTTTTAAAGGCGTCCGGGGACGTCCGGGGGGATTTTTTGAAGTTATTCGTGTTTTACGCTTAACGGCATCTTGAAAAAAATCACGAATAACTCCGCGAAATTAACAAGAATCATGGAAATCGTCTATCGACATCATCAGTTTTATTTAGCCCGCGTGTGCGCGACTGAAGTTTCATGTTCACGTGTCGTTAGTCATGTTTGGAGCTCGGTGGAAGCTATAAAAAACCCCAAAAAAATTATTCTTCTGTCAAAATAATGAGTGGTTCTCGAAGCCTTGAAATAAACTTTTTTGGGCGTGGCCCTAAAAAAATCTTCTGCCTCCGGCGGCGCCTAAGGTGGGCTACCCTGTAGTGGGGTCCGGGTTTGAGGTGTCCTAGGTAACAAATTTCATAAATGGCAGCCTGTAACGTTTTCAATTTCTTGGCTAATAAGCTACCTTGTTTTGCCATACTGGATATGATTCCATATAGAGCTACAATGAAATAAACAACTATCTTTTTTGTGCCCAGATTTTGTTACCTTGAGTACTGCCTTCTACTAGAAGTTTTTTTGGTTCAGGTTTGCAAGTTTGGTTAATTGATCTGGGAAGGTTTGATTCAGTACGGCAGGGCCCGCTGTTATTGATTAGAATCTTAGGAAAAGGAGTTGGTACCATCACCATCTCTGTTTGCAAATCCAATCAATAACCTGAGGTTATGATAATAATTGTTTTTTTGTACTCTTTGACTTTTCATTTCATCATTGAACAGCATTTTTGTCTAGGCGTTTTCTTTAGACCTGTTCTATGTTTTGATATACCAGTCATTTTTTACACAACCGATTCTCAGTTCGTACTTTTGGGGTGAAACTGAACACGTCCTTTTCTATAATTTTCTTCAATATCAAAATTAGAAGTTTGACATATGAAAGTCTTCTTCCGAAATCTAAATTCTAAATGAAGAATCTGCCCTTTTGATCTGCGACCTCACGCTGAGTAGTCGTCCGGTCTCGGGCCTCGGCCCTAATTGTTTTTTGGGCGAGACTTTTTGGAATTTTGTGCCAGGGAGCTCAAGTTTTAGAGTAATTTCTTGCTGATAATTGTCTAGAGTCGTCCCTTGGTCATTTTTGGATTCTGTTTCGGTAAGTTTGAGATTTTCTTCAGGAAATATTAACCTACAACACGTGTTCCATTTTTTTTAATAGGACTGTTCCGAGCAGCATTTGGAAGTTTAAGACTTCACCTTTGGTCTAGAGTATCCCTCAATTTGAGGTAAGATTATTTCTAATATTTGGGGCTCGATTTGTTTTTTTATACGAACATCGTTATAGGGTCCTAGTCTCAGGCTATAGTTGGACAGTCCTAGTCTCAGGCTATAGTTGGACAATCCCAGTCTCAGGCTATAGTTGGACAATCCTAGTCTCAGGCTATAGTTGGACAATCCTACTCTTAGGCTATAGTTGGAGAATCCTAGTGCTAGGCTGTAGCTAGACAGTCTTAGACTATAGTTGGACAGCTCCTAGAAAGAAATTCTAGACTAGATCTAAATTGCCCTTAGTTGGCTTTGGTAGCCTCCATTCAGCAACCCTTTTGGTAGCACTCTGGTTGAACCACGTCGAGTTCTACGTTAAACAGATACAACGTGGATAGGACTCATGACTCACTTACCCTTACATAGTCTATCTACAGTGAGACCAAACCTGTAGATAATCTCCCTTCAAAACTTCTGGAGTTACACATACATTTGAAGATAACTAACACTTGTATCCCATGTAAGTTACACCTTTTACTATTTAGGCAAATCCTATGTAAATCACTTGATACTAAATCAGGTTCGGTAAGTGCCCCTTAAATAAAATTCTAGAATTTTACCCTGAGGTTGCCCTAACTATAACTTTCACCTTTCTGTGTTTAATTTGCCTGATGGTAAAGTGTAATCCATACTGAATTATTCTTATCTCTCACAAGTGTAAATACCAAAAGGTTTTTAGTCATGTTTATTTAAAATTCATATTTATATATGCATTATTTACATTCATTCTTTTGATAATCAAATATTTATAAATTGGTACAAGCCATAATGTATACACATTTTTAATAACCTCCTGGCTATCCCTATATTTTGTTATTATTTTTAATAAAGAAGCCAGATACATTATTGTACCTAATTAGTTGTTTTATTGATAAGCTCTCCAATTGCACAGGTATTCTTTATAACATCATTAAGTTATCTTCCTAGTTAAGTCACAATTAACTTGGTGGCGCCCAAAGGTAAGATGTATACAAGGAACCCATAGACCCATGGCCTCCGAACTGAAGCTGACTAGCCGTAGCAGTATAATCAGGCAATTGCCAAAATAAGTACGTTATAAGCCCTAGTCCCACACAACGCGTTAGGTACCCCTCGTACCCGCTACGATGCACCGATTGGTTCCTATCGAATTGTGAATAGGTGATTTAGTGGTCATTTGGTTTTTATCCGATCACAGCTATTAATGCAATTTTGAAAAGACGTGAGTTTGTAGCACGTCTTTTTTAAGGGATCAATATCCATTATTTTAGCACCCTGAGAGAATTGGGTTCTCTAGTGGAGTTGTTGTACTCACTGATCGACTGATATCGGATTAAAGTGATCGCCTCAAGGCTAAAAATTACTCATTTTTATTGAAAATTGGAAGATCATCCGTTCTTGGAAAATCAACAAACTTCTATTGAACCTCTAAATCCACACTTTACATCTCAGTGTGGTAGCAAGGTTGTACCAATAGGGTACGTGATCATACCTGTAAAAGCAGTAATTCAATGTCCAGCCCTCGTTACACTTACCATTGATAAGGCTCTTTGAATCACCTATCGTTCATTCCGGACGTTACTTCAATCTGTGTATCCTCCAGATTGCCAGATAAGTGCATCAACGTCTCGGGGAACATATTCCGTGAATAACGTTAATATCGGATTTTCTTTAAGTTTTATTATCAGTATTGTTTGAAATTGGAAAACATTCAAAATAATTGCAGGTTCCTGAATTGTCATAAGTTTAAAGTTAAAATCTATAGTCGGCATTGAGGCCAACAAGAGTGTTTGTTTAGTTCTTTAGAACTTATAGCTAATCTTTGGGAACTCTATGCCATAACATTTCGCGCCTAGAGTTTTATAGCTTGAACGCCTATACTGAGAAGTATATAACTCTTTACATAAATATTGTGTCAGCCAATTGTGGTCACAAAAGGTCCCTGAAAAATTATTAAATATAATCAT